TAATATTTATTTTTATAAAATTTAATTTAAAAATATCAATATATAAATATATTTTTAAAATCAATTTTACTATGATGGAATCAAATTATCATATTTAACCTAATAATTTAAAATTTAAGAAATTTAAATTGACTTATCCAAATAAAATATTTTAAGAATGATAGAAATTGAAATCAAAGTAATTTTAATACCAAGAATTTAAAATTTCTTGAATTTGTAAAATTTCTCATCCAAACACACTATAAAGACCTAAGTTACACCTAAGTCTTGTCATTGGTAGAGGCAATTCTTTTTTCATCGTAATTGCTATAATACTTGGTTCTTATTGAGTTAGTTCTTTTTGGAAGAAAAAAAGTAGTAGGAATTAAAAGCAAATTTATAAGGACTAGAACAGAATAATAAGGACTAAAAGGTGGAAAAACTTTTTACAAGAATCATTTAAAAAATAATAATTCATAAGGATCAAAACAAAACAAAAAAAAAATGATATATTATAGAGTAGAAATATATTTAAACCTAGACAGACATGATTACAATCACTTAAAGTTATAAAACTTTACTAAAACCATTTATTTATTTTATTCATGAGAATGGAATACGGGTACCAAAAGAGTTTACAACATTCATTCAACAGACTGAACTAGACCCCCTTAGTAAACCATCTCTTCTTTAACCAAACTTATTACATCATGAGTCCTTTAAAAGAAAAGAAAAAAAGTTGTGCAAGTGTTGCAAAGTAGTATGATGTCAGGAGATCGTTGTCATAATAACGAACGTCCCACAGCAACTGGCCTGCAAAATGTGGAAACCTCGATAATATGGGGGTTTTGATTTGGGGGCAGAAAAGAAGGAAATAAAAGAAACAACGGTTAACAGGTAGCGTTACAAGAATAAAGACTATACAATCCTACAATCATATTGTACTGATCACATTTCCATTATGACCATTATTCTTCAAGTAACACAAGCAATAACTGTTAAAAATCCACGTGGGACAATGAATTTCAAGTATAGGGGAGACTTGATGTAAAGTATTGGAACATAACTATGGATTACCAAATTAGAAAGACTTACATGAGCTCAAGGACAAGAGCAGATGCTCCTCCTCCTCCATTGCAGATGGCAGCCACACCATACTTCCCTCTCTTCTGCCTCAATACCTGAAATTAAACTTGGCTAAGAGATCCACAGATCACAAAAATCTGGATAGTGTAGTGATAAGACAAGAACTATAAAATGCAGCATGGCATACAGAATATTAACTGGAAAAGTATAAGAATTTGAGTGCCAAGGGTGAAAGAAAAGTAAGCAAGGTCAAAATTTACCCCTAATAATGTGACTAAGATGCGAGCTCCACTGCAACCCAAGGGATGCCCCAATGATACAGCTCCACCATGAACGTTCACTTTTTCCTGCATTTGATAGGAAGTACATGAACTATCCATTATTAAGTTCAAGCCGTTATACTAGGGCAGAATGGAGGAACTAAAATGCTAAGGCAGCCAGAATAGCCAAAAAATTGACATGTTATTATACAATCAAGAGCCAAGGAGCTGAGGCACTTGAACACTCACAGGATTAAGACCAAGAAGCTTCTGATTTGCAAGAGCCACAACCTGCATAGAAGAAGTTGGAACACAATTAGCATAGTCACTTGAATGAGTAAAATATGCATTGTATTCATTACCGAAAAGGCTTCATTTATTTCATAATAATCAATTTGAGAAGCCTCAAGACCAGCATTTGATATAGCTTTTGGGATTGCAAGGGAAGGAGCAGTTGTAAATAATTCGGGTGCCTGCAAAAACACTCCTGCTTTAGCTCTAAATGCTCAAATTAATCAAGACCAAGAGAAGTTAACATTAATTTATTATATCACCTTAGCTGCATCTCCATATCCTTTTATCTTTGCAATTACATGCAATCCAAGCTCACGAGCCTTCTCTTCACTCACTAGCACTAATGCCGCAGCACCATCACTAGTCAAGCCAATAAACCAATCCATCATCAAGAAAAGAACATGCAGTTTAGAACGATAATTGTTGCATGGCATAAGTATTAATTTGTTAGCAAGCTTCTTGCAATGACACATGAATGAAGAGAGACAAAGAGAAGGACAGACCTTATACTAGAAGCATTGCCAGCAGTCACAGAGCCCCCAACTTTTTTAAAGCTTGGTCTAAGCTTCCTTAACTTTGCAGCATCGAACTGACAACATGAACACAAAAAATATTAACCAAATGTATGCAGTTTGCTCCATATTCCCAATGAAGCAAGTTTCATAAAATATTTCAGTTGAAGGCTTCTACAATTATGAACTTACAAAATGAAAAGTATATCATACACAACCATTAACAGTTAATTTAATATATTAACTTAGTTTGGTTTTTGTATTCAACATGATGAGAACCTAGGCAATCATGAAATGCTAAATGCAGTGGTCGACACTTAAAGAACTAAATAGGAAATAAATACCAACAGATAAACACCCCCTTGCCTCCAAAAAGACAACAAAAGAATTACAATAGCTCGCATATACAGAACTGGATTCATTTTTGTGACAAATTTTGGTAGTCTATAAGCAAAGCAAAAGGTAAAAAAATGTGATACTAGAACCATGCAAAAATTTGTATTTCTTGTTAATTATGTTCCATATACTTTTCACATAGACACAAACTGACAAACATAGAATAACAAGGAAAATCTAAAATGTTTTTGTATTAGTATGAACTACAGACTAGACTGTCCATTTAGATCAGTTAACACATTTGTATATTAATCTATTTACCTTCCCCAAACCTTCATCTCTATCAACAAGTGTGGAAGGCTTTCCTCTTCCACTGGAAACTTCAACCTGCATGTGCAAAAAGTGTTAGTTGAAAACCAAATCATTGTCACTGCACAGTTTATCAACATTTTCATATAGACAGGAATCATAATCACACCGGAACTATCTCCCAAGAAAAATGACCAGCATTTTGTGCAGATATTCCTCTCTCAAAGCTTCGAACGGCATAAGAGTCCTAGAAAACAACATACATTGTAGAGCAAAACAAAATTACGAATCCTAGATTCAACTAATGATTGAAAGGAGTTAAAAAGACAAAAATTCTTTGGGTTTTGGCTCCATTGTACTGCCCAGTGTAAATGTTCATGGAGGAATGATGTTATGGGACAAGAAGGTACAATTGTCAGATCAAGATTAGGAAATATATCAGCACAGCAAGAGTCTCGTTTTCAAAGAACAATTAAAAACAGGATAGTGGTGGGAAAGAACATGACCCCCTTCACTACATTGAAAGGCTACAGGATGCTGATATTGAAATAAGGTAATTGAAGCAGTTATTTAAAGGACAGTGAAGCAATGAAGAAAAATGAAATATATAACAAAATTTGAACAGGCTGTTCACCAATGAACACTACCTGCTCATCTCTTGTTATGACTTGCTCATCTGCACATAGTTCGGCACAAACTCCCATGCCAAAGTCATTATAGACATCCCAAAGGCCATCTTTGATCATTCCATCAATGATAGTATCATGTCCATACCGAGATCCCTTCCTTTTGTAGACACAACATACGCAGAATGCGGTAACACTCAACATCAATGACTAACCCAAAAAAATGATGTGATGGAAGTTGGATTTCACCCAATGATTAAGCACTTATAAGCTATGATTTACTAAACGCCATAAGAAACATGATTTCAACATGGCAGCTAAAATAAAATTTTCCCATTATCAGCAGCAATTTTGTCAGATTACAAATTTTTTTATCTTTTATCAGAAAGCATAGGTATTAAGCATCAACAATTCATGAAAGAAAAGCAAACCTGGCTTCTACAATGTACTTGGGTGCATTTGACATGCTTTCCATACCACCAGTCACAACAACATCATTGAGACCAGATTGTATGGTCAGTGCTGCAAGCATGGTAGCTGCAAGGAAAAATGCAAGACCATGATTTCACCTTATCCCCACGAAAAAGTCATATTTGAGAGAGAATACCCTTCCAAATCAACAAAAAAAGAACATACCTTTCATCCCTGATGAACACACCTTGTTAATAGTAGTGCAGATTACAGATGTAGGTATTCCTGCACCTAAAGCAGCCTGTCTGGCAGGAGCCTGCCCTAAATTTGCACTAAGAACATTCCCAAAAAACACCTCTTGCACAAGTGATGGATCAACATTTGCTCTCTTGAGAGCAGCTGCAGATTTATATATCAACTTAAAACATTGGAGGAGGAGCAAGAATTTGCATAAACATTTGCTAACTTATCTTTTTAATTGAAAGTGACAAAGGCAGTGACTAATAAAGAAAAAAGGGCAAAGGGAAAAAGCTTAAGGATTTACCCTTAATAGCAATTGAGCCTAACTCTATGGCAGAGAGAGATGATAGGGTGCCAAGTAAACCACCCATTGGCGTCCGAGCAACACCAACAATACAAACATCTGTAGCCAAAAAATTCACACCGATTAAGTATTCTGTATTCTTATTAATTATGTTCCATCAAAGGTGGTCCATTTTCACACCACATGATACATAAAATCATCAAGCTAAGGAAGTAAAAAAGAAGCATCAACTTGTGAATTGCATTAATAAATGATGAATGGAAACAAGCTTCGTAGTTGTTATGAAAAAAAGTAACAATAAAAGCAGACCTCGGGATTTTGTTGAAGTAGACATGGGAAGAGTTCGAATTGATGGAGGAAACAGGAAATATAGCGTTTTGATCTGAAAACAAAAATGATATGATATGAGAAATGATGGCGCGGTTTTGTATAATAATAACAAAGAGGAGAGAGAGAGTATGGATCAAAAACACAACTCACAGTGACAGACCAGTCTGGACGTTTAGAGGGAAGCAGTTAATGAGACAACAATTTTGTTTTGTTTTCGTTGCAAAACAAAACTAAATACGGTATGATCTTAATGTGTTAAGGGGACCCACTTTCCCATCTTCATCTTCTCTACTTTTGCAATATGCACGCATCATCATCATCTTCCTAATCACCTCCGACTCTGACTGTATCTTTTAGGATTAGGACAAGTAATTTTCTTTCACTCCAAATACCTACTAACTCTCCGCTGCTATTTTTCTTAGAATTCACTCTTCTAACCCACTATTTTTTACACATAAAATTTAAGAGAAAATAAGCTATGTATAGTTTAAAGTAGTTTTTCATACAAAAAAAAAATACATTAACTTGAACTGATGTCATTCCCTATTATACAGTGAACTGATTTCATTCCCTTGTAACAATCAAATTATTATGCATTTTCAATTTCATGCACTTGAAATTTGGGTTTTCTAATATGTCAGTTTTTTTTATGTAGATTGACCTACCAGTCTGTCAATTTTTCTTTAGGCAGTCCAATTAAGATGTTCTAACTAGGGGTGAGCAACGGGTGGGTTTGGTCGGGTTCGGGTGAAAAATGTCCAACCCGTTATAAACCGACTTTGAAAAAATGTGACCCATATCTGATCGACTGAGCTTTCGATTTGAGGCGGTTCGGGTTGAAACGGATTCGGATTTAAGCGGGTGAGTATAATCGGGTTTGAATTTTTTTGTAGACCAATTTATCTTAACGAAGATGAAGCTTAAAACGATAAAAAATATTTTTAAAATAGTGTATAAAAATAGAATGAAGGTGACAATAGATGGTGTAAATAGATTCGTAGTTGAAACATTTACAAACTAAAGAAGCAAAAATAAAAGATAACAAAATTCATAGTTGTTACATGGAAAAGAAATATAAAGTTAGATTACAAAACCATAAGAAATCACAGTCATACAAAATGTACTCAAAATGGAGATAAGAAGATGGAAAAGAAAGACAAAGAAAGAAGCAAAAAGATAACTCTAAAAATGGACTAGTGTGTTGAGAAGTTGAATGAGGAAGGAGAAGACAAAATAAATATCTAAGTTATGAGAAAAAGGAAAAAAATAAGTTACAAATTGATGGCTATATTATACTTGAAATAAAGACTTTTAAGTTTGGACCATTGTTGTTTAGTTATACAAAAGTAATAAAAATTTAAACTTATCTCATTTTCGGTTGGGTTCGGTTTTTAGCGGGTTTAAAAATTCAAAACCGAACCCGCCCAATATAACCCGTATAAAATCAAAATTTTAACCCGATTTACCCATAAGACCCGCCCGAACCCACCCAAAAACAATATTTTTTTTCGGATTTTTCGGGTTCGGTTCGGGTGTCGGTTTAATGCTCACCCCTAGTTCTACCTTCTTTTTTTCCGGATCGCACTATCTCAATCTGTTTTTAGCTTTGGCTTCACACATTTTATCATCCTACTTTTAACACTCTTTAAAATATGCTCTATTTTATCAATTAAAATTACAAATTTTTTTAAAAAAAATTATCGATAGCATTTTCAAAAGTTTTACTTAATGAGAGTATTTTTGAAAAAATTTCTTAACATTTTATCTCTTTTAATTTATTATATATATTTTTAATAAAATTATTAAAATTAAAATTATATTTTAATTTATATCATAATATAAATATTTATTATAAATTTTAAAAAATAATTTATACATTTTAAAATACTTATTTATTATAAATTTTAGTTTTATAAAATAAAGTAATAAACATTAACACTATACATTACACATAATAAAAGTAATGATAATAAAACTAAGAAATTATGTATTTAGATACTTAGTTTAAAATCGCATTTAAAAAAAGAAGAAAAAAAACGCGTTCTGATTCAAAAAAAAAAAAAAGACAAAATTTGTAAGTGTAGATTTTTTTTCCCTCTCTACTAATTAAGTACCACAAGGAATGATGTTAACACTAGATACTCTCTTTGAGGAAAAATAGTAGAACGTGCAAGAAAAATTCTCTTCTGTTTGTAGTTATTTTTCAATAAAAGTTGATGAAACTCAAATTTTTCATTAATCATTTGCATACTTATTTTTTCAATTAATCATGTTGAAAAAATATTTTAACAAAATAGCTAATATGTTAAATAAAAAGCTGAAAAAAAATATTTTTCAAGTTTAAAGTTTGAATTAGTTAACTGAATTAGAAATATTTAGCAAAATTAAGTATTGAACTAATTAATAAATTTAAATTGACGTAAAATTATATGTTTTTATAATTTTATTTAATAGAAATATTTTTGGTATTTCTAACTTTAAGTTCTCTTAGTTCATTTTTAATTCTTATTATTTATTGTTTGTAGATAAAAGTGACATTAAATTGAAATTATATTAATGTATTGAAAACAAAAACAAAAAAATATGAGTTATAAGTTAAAATGCTACTTCAAGTGACATATGAAATATGAAGAAGAAGAAAAATCTATAAATTAAAGATGAGTATTTTTACTAAACATTTCGTCCAAGTGGTTCTAAATACTTCATTTTATAAACTAATCAAATAAATGAACTAGACAAGTGTTAGATGAACTAGTGAAGTGTTATATACTTTCTAATACATTCTGTTTACTTAATTAAAATTTATTGAAAAATATAAAAGAAAGATTCATTAAATAACATGCATCACCCATTATTTTTGTGATTCCGATAAATTAAATTTCAACCATAGAAAGAAGGTTGTTCAAAAAATAACTAGTGAAACACACCATTATTTACAACCTAACATGGTGAATTAATCTTCATTTAATTTATTATCAGCTCACATCTAGTTACACAACTAATTTCGATAATTACTTAACTTTCGCATAGCTTCGTAAGTCGTAACAGAGTTACAAAGCCTCGTACCGAACATGTTATGCTTCATGATGTTCAATGTAAATTAATGCTCGAGAGACCCCCAATAGCTTACAAGCCTAATGTTGGCCCCAAAAGATACGATATACCTGAAAAATTACTTGAAATCTCTTTTTTTTTATGAGTATCTGAAATCTCAAATGAATGCTCATTGCTAAAATAAAGAGGCTAGCTAGTTTTCGACTAGTTGTTTGTGATATTAATACAAGGGACGACAAACAAAACTTGGAAGAAGCCATGAATCAAAACAATTTATTTTGATTGAACATGCAGCTTCAAGTGGGTTTGAGATCAAGCACATCACCAACTAATACTAAACTACATTGGAATACATATCTACGAGGAATTAATAAGAAATATGCCCAAATCAAAGGAATAATTAAGGAGAGTTGCAATTTTTAGCACTACATTGAGGAAGCAGAAGAATTGATCAACTTGATCGTCAATTGTAGCTCCCCAGACTCAACCCCACGAAGCCTTAACCAGACATTTTGTACCACTTCACCATTAACGCAATTGATGCTGCTTTCACGTGCAAGACAATTTTCACTATCAGGCGTGACCTTCCTCAATGTTGTCTCACCAGAAAAAACCTTTAAAATATCTCTTAATCTAGATGCAGAGATTAATGGCTGAAGGTTGATGCAAGTATTTCCCATCTTGTCATCAGCTTTCCAAAGATCTTTATCAAATACTTCCTATCAAAAAAAGCAACTTGTAATTCAAATATTAACCTTAAACTCAGCATTTCAAATATTTCACCTGAATAACAACACATTGTAATAAAATACATGCAACTGAGTTCCATTGAAGTTTATGAACTAGTAAAGGCTGAAGAAAAAAAGAACGATGATGCATAATTGACCACTAATTGAAGAAATACCACTTAGCAATGTGGTAATGATTATCTGACACAGCACACTGACTGTAGCCAAAACTCACCAGAATATTTTCCTTTTAGGTCATCTTAAGAATTATTCCATTCAAATAACTTCCAAATTGATACATAGAAGGAAATATGTAAAGGTCTGATATGTTAACTGACAAGCACTATGTTTTCAATCTCAAGGTCAAATATATTTTTTTTCCAGAAACAAAATGAATCGTCAACAAAGTATATATTTACAGATGCATAAAAATATGAGGAAACTCACCAAATTTAGAACTCGCAAAGGTTCTGTTTCTGTCAGAATGAAATTCAGCTCTTCATTCCAAACAGGATTCAAGCAACAATTAATGACCTTGGTCTTCGCTGTCTGATACATTATATTATAATGAATCATTTCAACGTTTAAAAATGCTACAAATGTTGATATAAAGCTGAAATGATAGTCCAAGTTACCTGATTACCCAGCTTGACAACAACATAAGGGTCACTGCTCTTGAAATCACGTATCACTAATTTCTTCCCTTGCACAATTTTGACTTTTAGTAGCCTCAATTGTTCACCCATTATACTTCTAAAAATATGCAGCTAAGAAAAAAAAAAGAATAGACTATGAATCTTCCGCAGGAGAAACACTAGTAAAGAAAGGAACATGCAGAGAAAAGTAAGAAAGCTAATTTAGCATGCCCACCCAACATGAACTAAACGAAAGAAAGAAAAAATAAGAATTTTTAATTAACATGTTTATAAATTAAAATTGAGAATAGAGTGGAAAGACAGTCAATACCGAGGATGTAATTCAATTGATTATTGAAGCATACAAGTTGTTGAATATTCCCGATCCTTGGTAACACAAAACCAATTAAACAAGGGAAATGAATGGTATTGGTAGGAGCAAGTGCGAAGTGAAGTAATGATCTTAAGAAAAGGGTTTTTGTTTTATGAGATAAAATAATGAAAAGGAAAGTGGAGTCAATAACAAAGAGATGTGTTGCTGCTAAATGTTTCATCTGACTCAGCATCAGCAATTGGCATCCTCGAATTTAATGACATTGGAACATCCTCGTCCACCGACTGTTGCAGGTAACAACACAGAGCCTTTTGGTATTTTCAGTTGGGTGCAATTGCAAACGACAGGAGGCGGTCATTTGTGATGAACTTTGTTCGCCGCAGGATTGACCGTTGACCAGATTTGGTGTGTACAAAATCCAAATCTAAGTGGACAAACGTGTATGGTGTACTTGTTGACTCCGACAACGCTCTTTCTTTTTGAAAACATAACTGCATCTGCATGCATGGAATCCTAATTCCATTTTAGAACATTCAAATCACGTCATTTCTTACTGCTTTTTACTACCATTCACATTTCATAATGTTGAAAAAAGTTTAAAACTGTTTGCAATTTTGGTTTTGTATATATATAATTTCACCCACCAATACATGATTCGGGTGTGAACGAAAAGTACAGTACTACACAGCCGCCGTAGAAATGTGTGAATGAAGAATCAAAAAGTAAACGGCCACCCTTCTTTATAAGATTTGCTATGTTGGTATACTACACCAAAACATGACGCAGAAATTGCAAACGAGAATCATGCCAACAAAAAAAATATTATTATTGTACAAACTCATTTAGGCATCTTACTTCCTATGTCTTAAGCACATCTAAATCAGGAAGCAAAATGTTTAATTTAATAGTGTAAAAAGTACAACTAGACCTATAACTTGAAGGGGTAAAGAGGTTGTTTATTTGTTACTACCTTCTAATATTTATTGATATTTTTTATTCTATTAAGATTTAAATATGTTTTTAATCCTTTAAATATAAGGTAATTTTGATTTAAGTCTCTCAAATTTAAAATCATTATTTTTAGTCATTATAATTTCAAAAAAAAAAAATTTCTTTATACTCAAATTTTATCATGAAATCTGTAAAATATTGACGCATAAAATTTACCTATTAGTATCTTTATTAGTGAAAATATCACATTAAACCAACTGATATTGCATATCTATTTCAATTTGTCAATTTCAAATATATTATTAGTGAATTGAGAAATTAAAACAAGATTTTTAAAAATTATAAAGAATAAAAATAATAATTTTAAATTTGAGAGAGAAAAAAAATTTATCCTAAACTTAAAAGACTAAATATTTAAGCCTTCTGTTAAAATTACATTGATGAAAATAATATTTGAATTTATAACATTGTACATATTACTTTAACTCTTTATCACATGACTAGTTAATATCTATTGATATTTATGTATTAAGGATTAATGGATGGAAATATTGAAGTATTGTATTTGGACTAAAACGTCCTTATTTAATAGTATCCTATATTCAAATTCTCATTACTATCATGATATGAATTAAATAACCTTTTTAAAATTCTTAAGAGATCAAAAACAAGAAGAAGAAAAAAAACAAAAAATTAGCCCTCATTCTTAGTCGGATCTAGCTCTCGACTATTTAACGGTGGAAACATGGGTGATTATACCGTACACCATTCTTACATTATTTCAAGCATCAAATATTTGTAACTTCTATTTTAAGTCTCTAGCTTAAAAATATTTTATACCTATAAAATGAAGGTGCATGATCGCAAATATTTGTAACTTCTATTTTAAGTCGGCGAACATATATGAACCAACCTCAGATGGTGAAAGCCTAACACGTGAAGAATGTGTTTCATCACGTTGGAAAAATGTGGAATTCAGTCTCCACCTAAAATCTCAAGTGATTCCTCAAACGGACAAAAACCAAAATTATCTTATCTTGGGGTTTTTACTCAATTCTCTTCTTTCTAGACTCTGGATAATAAAACTTGCGTAAAAACATGAATTTTGGGTGATTTATCAAACATTTTGCACTCTAAACCGTTTTCGGTGTAACTGATTTAATATAAATTAAGCACAGGATGGTAAAGTCAGGTTTTTCAATTGTATCCGGTGAAGTACAAATATGCTGAAGTCCTAAAGATACATATGCAATTATCCCCACGTATATCTGTACACATTGTTGATTTCCCGAGTCAAGTATATCAATTGTGTTGGAGGGATGAACGACACCTACACAAATCATATGCTAAACCTATCTCCTGAACTAATAAAAGGTCATTTAGCAGGAACATAGTCCTAAAAAAACCACAAGTGTCTACATTTTTTATCCTTATAAACATGGGGATGACTGCTGTTATTTTATACTTTCTACATGGTGGCTACAAGACATGCTAAGCATATTTATTAGTATGTTAATAACTAAAGATTTTCAATTTGGCAGTCATCATTCACGCTGACACCTGTACTTGTACCACAGCATCCACTCCGCTGCAATCTTGACAGACAAATAACAGCTTAACAGCTCAGTATTGTTTCCCTGAGCTTTTCTTCCCCGTCCTACGCTTCCATTTACACTGCATCAATCAATCTCAAATTATGAGCTTCAAACAAATACTTAAAAAACAAGTGTGTTGCAACGGCTTAGTTATTTACCAGAGGCACATCATCAGAAATCTCAGCTATTGTGTCATTATCATCAGGAGTTTTTGATGGCTCTACATGTAATTTCTCCATTTCTATAGGACTACTGACAGCATCGCTGTTATCTCGATGCCCTTCAGAATCTGATTCTTCTTCTCCATTAATATTTTTCCTCAAAGCTCCACTTGTTTCATCCACTTCTCTCTCTTCTGAACTACCTTGTGGGACACTCGCTCTATCTTCAGAAAGTCTCTCACTATAATCCTGCTTCTCTTCATCTGATTCTTCTGTATATAGAAAGTTCTTCTCTTTCTTTAGCCTCTTCCCTCTGGAGACTGATTTCATACTTTTGTTAGACTTCTTCTCCTTTGTCATGATCTCACTGAACCCTCCAGTAAATTCCTCCTCTGAATCACCTTGAAAAGAAAAATTGTTTAAAAAAAAACAAGAGGAAACAAAAATGAAGCCCAAGTCCTAACACAAAATGAGCAATTAATTGAAGCAAAAAATATTATAGGTATAATATTTGTTTCCAAACCAAATTAGCAAATTTAAAATTCAACCATGTCATGTCTTTTTAAATATATTACCCGAGTACATTGCATCAGCTTTAAAGGTCGTGGTCTCTTCAGGATTTGATGTCTCTGAGGTCTCTTTGGCATCCTCTTGATGGAAATTATTTTTTGATGCACGTTTTATAGGTTTGCTGGGAGATTGTTTACCATTGATTCTAGAAGGCAAAATTCTACAAATTATATTAAATAGAACATAAAGCAAAATCACAGATGTGCAATAGGGGTCCCAGACTCTTTCACTCACATTTTTTTTGTCCTTTTATTTGCTGAGCCACTAGAACCTTTATGCTTTTGCCCAGCACTACAAAGCATGAAAGTAGTCAAGAAAATCAGTACATAAAATGGAGACCACCCACTCGATGGGGTACAAGCTCATTTTAATAAGCTAGTATATAGACAATTCAACAATTCCGCTAAAGCATACAACATGTATTCAACTCAACTTTTTTGTTTTCTAAATGTTGTAACCATTTTCTTACTATATATATATATATATATATATATATATATATAGGAAAATATATTATCATTCTGGTACAACTAAAATAAAAAACATATATGTCAAGGGGATACTTACGCTTCAAGTGAAGAGAATTTTATCTTCTGGAAAGAAATTTAAAAAAGAAATGCATCAGATATTCAGATTTTAATGGTAACTATTATTTTATTGGAAATAGATAACGTAAAAATACTTCAGAGTAAGGAAGAGCAGTGAAGGAAAACCAGAAACCTTAATAGATTTGCGGCCCTTGTCAATAAGCTCCCAACGTTCCTTTTCCAATCGGAGTATTTCTACGTCTCCATCATCATATAATATCTTCCACATGACATGACACAGTAAAATTGTTTCAGGATTGTAAGCAAAACATAATAGATAGCAGGAAGAAAAACATAGTTCCAAATTCTAAGTGCAAGTTCAGCATAATTCAGCTTACCACATGCTTCCCTTTCAAAGGGTCATAGGATTTAATGGTGCCTCCATAAAATCTACAGAACATCAAAACACCAACATGAGAAATTTAATTAGAAATTTTGTGAAAGCAAAAGAATTAATAATAAATTTAGAAGGCATACAGAAGCATGACAGACAAAGAGCAAGATAGACTGTAACATAAACTAATGCTAACAGATGCAGCATGAAAAACCAAGAAATATAAGAACAGCATGCAAAAAGAGCAGCTGAATTTGCAATGGAACTATGGAACTCATCTTCAAAAATATGCTCAAAAAGGTTTAAATTAAATTCTTTTCACGTGCTCCATAATAATGGCCAAAAGCCCAAAACTAATTTACTTTGCTTCAGCAACTAATCCCTATAAAATTTATCATTAGCACTTACTTTTTATCCATAGGCCACCAAACTTTGATTCTGCAACCAATTAGATCTTCAGTATCAATTTCACCTTCCTTTGTTGTGCACCGCACATGGTCAATCAAATCAAACTATGTTATCCACATGATTTGTATGAACACATTTTAGACAAGGTGGGTAGGAAAAGGGGGTTGGGGGGAAGCATAAAAGATCCACACATGACAGATTCTACTAACATATCAAGACATAAACCGCTTAAACATTCACTAAGAAGGCTAGTAAATAGAGCTTACCTTGGCCAATCCTGCAATACTTTTTCTTTTCCCCTTTTTAGTGGACCCTGTGGAAGACTTGTAATTGTTACTTACAGTCTTATCACTTAGTTTTATACTATCAGGACTCTGCAATGGAGGCAAAAAATAATAAGCAGAAATCTACAACATTGATCTATTATATCCTGCATTAACATAAATACAGTTGACAGTAAGATTGTAATTTGTACCATCATGCCTTGCTCATCAGGTTTGTTCGACTCGTCATTATAGTAACTGTCAGAACCCTTAACTTTTTGCTTTAACGAGGATAATAACAAATCTTTCTCACTGCCTTTGTCCAAATTTCTCTGCAGGGTTTTGCTATCTGCATCAGGGTTAACTTCATCCAGCAGTAATTTGGATTGAGGGGAGACATCTCCAGAAGCTCTTCGAGAAGCCTTTGATATACTAGTTGATAATCTCAATTTCCCGTGAGCAGGGGAAGACCGCCTGCGTTTAGGCACTGGAACAGGTGTTGTTTCTCCAGGTTTTCTCTTTTTACCCGTTGCAGACTCTGGATCCTTCAGTGCTTTCTTACTCAAGGAATGTTCATGACCATTACTTGGCTCAAAATTAACAGATGTCCCCAAGTTATCCAAGTTAACTTGTTTGACTATATTTAAGACGTCAAAACCATTTTCAGTCTTTTTTGTTTCAGTTGGCACAAACTTCTTCCGTTTCACCTTTTTGCCACTGGTTCCCTGAGATTTTATGTGCTTTAACATCTTTTGCAGAGGTATTTCATTTCCTTCATTTTCATCATCCTTTAAAGCTTCATCCTTGGCTGATTGGAACGGAACCTGACATAAGAAAAAAGTTATATAGCTCAAGATTTAAAAAAACAACCAATGTTTACACGTCACTTTCCCACTGCATTGAACATACCATTTCTAGTTCAAGAGATTCAAAGTGAGGCAAGACACTTTCATCAGCCAACCAGCTCTTCACTTCAGTTACCTGTCAATTATTTCAGAGGCATTAATAAGCACTATTTTTAATTAAAAGTAATCCAAGATCTAAATAAAAGTTAAAAATAATAATACTGTTAACTGATTCAAGAAAAAGATGACTTCATTAACTGAGATTTGCTTTAGGTTACTCAGAGTAATCTAGATTTTTTTATTGTAGGGAGGTTGTTAGGATATATAGAATAAAGGGAGATAGAGTAGTTATTATTAGTTAGCATTTAGGGTTTAGAGTGGTTGGTTAATTAGAGCGATATCATGGCTCAGGCCCATCATATCTATAAATAGGAGGATACTAGCGTGAAGTGGGAGAAAGGGGTGGGAGGGTTCAGATTAGTAAACCTATGTGGGAATAGAGCAGTGGCTCTGGTGAATAAGGGGAAACCTTTGGAGGAGAGATTATCTAGTTAATAAAACTGTTCATTCCTTCTTTTCAATTTCTGCCTTCCTAACAGAGGTAATATCATTAAACTCTGTACAAATCCAACTTCATTGCCTGTTCGGTAAAAGAGCCTACATTAAACCACCCTAATCACATCCATCAAGCCAATAAGATGCTTAATTGGTAGGAAATGTTTTTACTGTAACAAAATCACCCAAGCCTCATGCAAATTTAATTAATCAAATACCATATGTTGAGTCAAAGTATCAAGTCTACAACTTATGGTTCATAAATTTCAAATGATTTAACAAAATATAAAATTAGTATATTAAGTTAATAGGCTGCAAGCAACTTAGCTGTTATGAAACAGTCTCAATTGGAAAGGGCTTAGTGCATATGGAAGTAACTACAAAATTTGACCAAAAATAAGGAGCATACCACAGTGCCATCTCCTTCATTCTCAGATGCTTTGTATAACATTGAAGGTAGAGAAACCAAACGGGACAATCCTTGCAAATCAACATCCTTCTGCACTAAGTGTTTGGTTATTGCTAAACCAAGGTCACATATTGCATGAGAATTCTGGACATTCATTGATAACAGATGTAAGATTTCAGTCACTTATCACTTTGACTTTCGCAATTTTTAAGATATCAGGGACAAAAATAATTTAATTTCAACCTTTGATTTTGATGTGTCAACCATATCTTCAGAATGCTTGATACTCATAAAGATAGAAGTGATATTAGATATAACTTCCTTCTCTTTGTCAGTAATCACTTCTGACTTGACATCTTCATCTCTTTGCAGTAGCATTGACAGTATCAAGTGCAACCGCCTGAAAATTCAGAACAAAATATAAATTTAGGAGTATTTATTTCTAACCTTTTACATTTTGAGGTTTGATAAATGTGTAGGCATAGGCATTGTACTGGTAGCAATCCTCATTCATATTTCAAATCAGCATCAATAACATGTATTTGAGAAGTACAACAAATTGGTAAAACAGACACATGTAGGTATCAAACCAAAACAATATAAGAAAAAGTGAGGAAACTTTAAGAAAATGTTCAGACAAGTTATATCTACAACAAGTTAACAAGGAGACCCTTAAAAGCAAAAAGACTTAATTGCACATACAAGAACAATGCAGATTTTAAACCTGTAGCACCTGACACTGTGATTCTTACAAGCTTACCAAAGTATGTGAAATAATACAGTGCAGTTAAGTATATGCATAAAGGCAAACTTTTTAGAAGGCCTCAATTTAATAAGCATGTAGCATTCTTAATATATTTCTAATTTAAACAGTAGAGATTCAAATATTAGCATTTCATACATTAATGTCATAAAATCATTAAACATAACGCTAACATTTATGAATTACCAAAAGTTAACTAAAGCTCCTCCATCCCTTCTTTTCCAGGTCTCTCTTTTGAATCATTTCATCCCTTTTTTTTATAACGAAAGAATTTATTAAGAGAAGAAACAGGATAACTAAAGCTCTAGAACAAAAGACATCATAGAAAGAAAAAAAAAACAACGATCAAGAAAACATGTGCAACACAGCATGCCCATCTCTCTGTAGATCTATCAGAGACACCCTCCCAAAAAGACCATTAACTAAACACCAAAAATGAGCTAGAACAACTACTCAATTCCAAATGAACTCGAAAGAAGACTGCTTTGCAGAGAAGATTCTAGCATCTCTTTTCACACACTATGTATCCATATAATGCATCTAGTGTCTTATGTGGGTAGGATGGTACCGATAAATATCATCATATGCTCCAACATCCTTGCACTCATCAACATTGGGACATGAATTGTGAGCAAGTGCATGAACTAGGTATGGAAGAATGTATTCAGGGTAAGTGGCTGAGGAATTTGCATCTGATTGCACAGAAAGTTGGCGTGCCTTCGACTGGTGGAGCAATTGAATAATGTCAGCCAGGTTCTGTTTATCCTGCATTAACCGAAAGGGGTCATCACAGAAACACAAAAATGATGTTAAGCAAAGAAAATTTACAATTGCAAACAAGACAATGAATCAACAACTTACCTCCGCAAACACCTCTGGCTTAGATCCAAATATGTTGAATAAGAAAGCACAAGAATATTTGGCATCCAAAATGCGATCTTTGATATATTGGTGAATTTTGCTTAAGAAAATCTTCTTAGCTTGAGGGAAAGAAATCTACAAAACTCAAGAAAACCATGAGAAGCAATTATTCCCACATTTAAATGAAAATTTTAACAAATTAATTCCTCCTTTTAAATATGAATATAGTTTTTATCTCGATAATAATACAATGAAAAACCAATATATGCTCAAGAAGAAATTAAGTAAACAAAAGACACAGCCTACCTCAGACACCCTTAAAGTTAAGTAGAAAAGATCAACAGCTATCTTTTGATCCCAAAGTCTTGACAAATGAAGAACTGCCTTTGCAGAAGCAAGCTTCAAATGGGCCTTATCAACTGAACTGCAAGTAAGCATGAATGAGTACATGGTATTTAAACCCACAGTCCAATTTTAAATTTTAAATTTCAAATTAATTAATAAAATATAACTCTGAAGCTGATATACTTTGATTTTATATCCTTTGATATTTCACCATATGATAAAACATTCCTAAGGATATCCAGAAGACTGTCAATATTCGGACGAACATGAGCATCTTTGACTGGCAAGTAGCTCTTTACAAATGTTTTAATGCCATATATCTGTAGAAACAAAATGGGGGAGGGGGGTAGGCACAGAGAGAACATGTCAAAAAAGAAGCCAACTTGCAAGCATTTTCTTAACTAACAAATCTCAACAACCTAAAGTATCTTAAACAGAGTTGAATATTCTTCCTACTAACCTTCAACATACAAAGATCACTTTTATCATCCCAAGATGCTCTTGCATGATCTTCTTTCTGAAACAGAAAGGCATACATTTAGATGAAAATCAATTATTTCCATGCTTATTTCATAACAAGCACACAATTCAAAGGGACTTGAAAAGCTTACACTATCAATTTTCAAAATATTATTTAGTATAAATTCTTTAATTTCATTCTCTCTGGTTTCAAAGACAGGCATTGCAATCTGCGCAATACACCCCAGAGACTGAAGTACTGCAGGCAGATGTGTTTTATCTTCCGGTTCCAGTGTATCTACAAGTTTCTGCACATAAGGTAACAAGAATCAGAATGAAGGGCAACAAAATGCACAAGGCTCCCATCTAATGGGGTTTGGAGAGGGTAGATGTAGGCAGCCTTATCCCTGCAAGCAGAGGGAGGCTGCCTCCAGGATTGGAACGTGAGACCACCAGTCCACGTCACAACAGAGCAATATTACTGTTGCACCAAGGCTCATTCTCTGACAAAAATCAGAATAATGAAACATGTGCTTAAAATAAATGAATCTACTAAATGAAACCTTGTATAGAACAGAAAGAGACTTGAGGCCATCATCCTTTGTTATTGCAGCCAGTGCATGGACAGCATACTTTGCATGCCTTCGACTGCCTTCTAAACATAGTCTCTCTAATATAAGGTCCACAGAACTGAATGAAAAACCGAGATAGTAAGAAAACTATACAAGGAAATGCATTTAAAAGGTTAACAATTTTAACAGTACCACCTTGATGTGACTGCAAGCTGTTCACGAATAGTACCACCAGCCTTTGCTAAAATATTCAGAACACCCTCCTTAATTGTATCATTATTATCTTTCAGTAAATTAACCAGCTCCTCCTCACTGCCACGTAGGAGCAATGGACTGAAACGAGCAATTATCTGCAATTTATCACAAGTTACCCAGAAGTTAAAAATTATTATTCTAGCATTCTTAATTTTCATGTCCATAGTGACTCAAGCCATGCCTGATACCACTGCTTCATAGCAGAATTAAATAACATTAAATTATTGGATAAAGATACTAAAAAAACAATGTGTCGTAACTCAGGACACTAAATGAAAACCATTCTTGGGCCCTCTCCTATCAGCTTAAAAAACATTCTATTCTATCAGCTTAAACAATTAGGATTAATTGGTTCTATGGCATGGTATTAAAGCCTCTCCATATGAGCTTGAAGGGCTTTCACAAATCCTAGGCATTCTTCTAACAACTTAAGCTTGTGGAATGTGTAGGCACTTAACAGACACAATCGCTCTGCAGCCAGCAAATTCCAATTAACCAGCATCAGGCAAAAACATAAAATTTTGCTTGCATTGCAAACATTATTAGCAAAAGCTGTGAAGTATTTGTTTATAATTCATAGACAATCATTAAATAGCAGTACAAAAAACAAAGACGAATGACAAGTTCTTACCACCAATATATTCATGCAAGATTGTGCACACTGAGCATTTTCTGCAGATTTTTGAGGTACTGTTTCCAAAAGAATTGTTTTTACATGCTCCTTGTTAAACAGCAAATATGAGCACTTTACGGAGAAGGTATTCAGAAATTCGTACAGACGATGTTTTTCTCCAAGTATTTTAAGCAAATCATCCTGCAGACAAAACATAAACAAATTTTTAAAATCAGTAAACAAGAAACTACAAGCTACAGCTTCTGTCTTTCTCTACAAATAAATAAATAAATAAATAAGACAATGTTTGTAGAACCACAACAATGAGATTATCTTGTAACTGTTGAAACTTGTAACATTGATCCTTATCATAGACCCCTAAAAGTAAATATCTGTTTTAAATTATGTTACTGAGTTTATGCAGCTTCAGAACAAAAGATACATATACAGATATATCAACATCAAATTCTGAAGCTCGTTAAACATTTTAACTGTTCATCTTTAAGTGTAGTTTAGCTAGATGCCAGAAGAGCGGTCCTCAAGTTATAAAACAATTTAAGGATATTAAAAATGAAATTATAAAGGAAATATGCTCAGAGGTTCCTAATGCTTTCTGGGATCGTAATTCCTTTGAAATAGAATTACCATATGAAGAAGGATTTTCTGAAAAAGACATTCCAACTAAAGCAAAACCAGTACAATTGAATAAAGAAACCCTTGAATATTGTAGAAAAGAAATTAAACAATTTTTGGATAAAAAATTAATAAGACCTAGTAAATCTCCATGGAGTTGTGCTGCATTTTATGTACAGAATGCTTCTGAAATTGAAAGAGGAGAACCAAGAATGGTTATAAATTATAAACCATTGAATAAAGTTCTAAAATGAATTTACATTATGTAATGCAGATTAGCACTAGATTACTATGTTGACAATAGCTACTACCCACAGGCAGAGTGAATGAATAACAAATCCGATTCATAGCCAAAATAAACACAAAAGGCATAGTCTATAAGCAATACAATCAATAGTAGCAATTAATGACAATGCTGGAAAAGGATTGAAATCAGACATATTCAATAAAATGAATTTACATTATGTAATGCAGATTAGCACTAGATTACTATGTTGACAATAGCTACTACCCACAGGCAGAGTGAATGAATAACAAATCCGATTCATAGCCAAAATAAACACAAAAGGCATAGTCTATAAGCAATACAATCAATAGTAGCAATTAATGACAATGCTGGAAAAGGATTGAAATCAGACATATTCAAGGAGATTATGATCACACAAATTCATGACAAGTAAGCAAGTGATATGTATCACAGGAATTGAGCATCAAGTCCAAAGATCTAATTCTCGTATTTTCAAAGTTTGATGCACATACAGTTTGTAGCAATGATTGCACAAATAAGTACCCCCAATAACATATCTATCAGCTATTGATTATTTTACCCGGTGGGCACGGGCTTGATGGAGGCTAGTATTTGGATCAACAAGATTTGTCAAAATCTTCCAGATATTAGCATCTTTTAATTGATCCAGAATCTGGAAACTCTCTTCGGCTTTTATGTGGTCAGCAAATGAACGAGACATTACTCTAAAACAGAAAAGAATCTTCTTTTGGACCTCGGGAATATCTTTATCCTGCATATAAATGAGAATCAAATCCTTTTTCTCATCAAATTTCCTTTAAGAATTCATCTTTCCAATATCTGATGTCAAATACCTGACTCATCTGCCTCAACAATATATACTTCTGCATCTCTTGCTGTAGCCTGCTACCAAAGAGGTATAGTTAAAAGGGAACGTTTATTGCTCACTGATGTTGAGACACCAGAGTAGTATATAAGCCATCAGCCCAGCACAGAAATCAACCGAGCTTACCTTTGTTTCTGCTCCAGTATCTTTTCAAGAGCCTTTATCTCCACTTTAGCAAATCCAGAGAAAATCCCAATCCAATGTTTAACAATATCACTGATTGAAAATTCTACAGGAAATAGGGACCCACATAGAACAGATTCAATTATATCAGATCTGCAAAAAAGAAATGGAAAGGAGAAACACCAACGATTAGAACACCTCTAATGCTATTAAAAAAAATAAGATAGAAAAACCAATTTTGTACTTGAAAAAGTATGCAGAAACTGGATAAAGTGAAGCTATTGAGTAATTAACAAAAAACCCAAGGCAACAAACTACAACATGAAAAACATTGACCTTGTGTAACACTAAATTAGACTGGCCTTAGGTATTCTGTGACCTAGTGTAGCAAGGATTTTCAGAATCACAAGATCTTTTCTTAAAAGGCATAATATTTTTTTAATGAACATTAAAAAACAACAAAAATCCAATATATAATCAATAAGAAAACACAGAATATATACTAAAGATTTCTTTTTAATTCACTGTTGCATAAAATTTATGCATACGCAGATTTTCAAATCCAAATAGACAAACCATTAAAAAGTTTGATTTTCATAAATCACTAATACTAAAATAAGGGTCATACTCTTTTACTGATTTCCCAATTTTAAACTCACAGTAGATCGAATTTAAACGCATACTAATATATACTAATATAATATGACAAAAATTGAGTTTTATACTTCATCAACTATACTTTTTGTTTGTGAATTTGAGATTCAAATTCATGTTTGGGATGAGGGAAATACATTTAATAAATATTACTGAGGATGACCAGCATGACATATAATGGTTAAAAATATAATGTACAATCATTTTAAATATTTTTCCATCATTGTTGTTGCTATAACATTGTGAGATTGGTATGAAGAAACTGCGAAGTATATAGACCAATTGAAAATTATTTTATGTATAGGACTAGATTATATAATCCAGAGACTATACATGACAATCATTTTCAATTTGTTCCCTAAAATCATATTGTAAGGCCAACAAACAGTTTTATAACAATATATAGTGATGAGCAAATTGAAAACAATACTGTCAAAAACAAAACAAATTGAAAACAATTGTACGAATGGGACTAGATATATAAAGCAAAAAACCATATAGGAACAAATTTGAAATTGAGAATCATGTATAAGGACAAAAAATATATTTCAACCATATATAAACATAACTCAGCCCACCCTTAAAAAAAAGGAAATTTGTGTATGGATCATTATTTAAAATGTTAATTATTCCCTCTGCTTTCTCTAGGTGAAAAATTGCTTGCATAGAAAAAATGGATTGATAAATTAATGCTAACATATAATTTGCACATGGTATGATAATTAATCAGTACTCATCTTAAGTGGCAAAATTCATCAATTTTCAACTAGAATCTGGGGGAGTTGAACTTTACAGTACATAACATTAGTTGGATTGAATAAATATTTTATTTCACTTAATACAAATGAGTCATTTCTTTTAGTAGATAGTTCAACTCAATTTTCTGAACGTGTTTTCACTTGGCTACTAAAATAAGGTTTCGAAAAAAGGGGTCCATTCTTACTTTATTGTTAACACAAAAAAAATATATTAAAGAATAATATGATCATGATGCAAGTAAGGGCGAAGGTAATAAAGAATACAGCACAAGTGTTTCACCGGAAATCTTTGTCATAACAACATCTAAGGATCTTCCCAGGAATCCAGTTGTATTCATCAGGATTGACAGTGTCACTGCTCTTCTCACAAACAACTCTATACACTTCAGCTAATCTCTCCATAGTATACTTTTTAACAAGAAGCTGCAAATTCAAAGTAAAATGATGAATTGAGATACTGTAGTTAAAATTATCAAACAGTTAAGATATAGAAACAAAGACAAAAATTTAGAGGTATACATACAGATTTATCACGAAGCCGTTCCGCAACAAGTTTCACAGTTTCAAGTGGAACAGCATTTAGGGCATGACATGCCACATCACAGATAACAGCCACGACTTGCTTTCGAACATTTTCATCAAAATCCCGCAATCGCTCACCAAGGGCAGCTAAGTTTGATTCAATTAAAATCAGCAAGTAAAGGACAAGGAAACAAAGAAACTTTAGACTGACTGAATGAACATCTGCCTAATGCACTCACATATTATTTGAGGAGCTTCAGCTCTGAAAGGATTTAACAGCAGACAATTCTTTACATGCTCAAGGACAGACATGCGGACATCAACAACTCTATCGGTCAACCTCTTCAAAAATTCTGAAAATATAGGTTGAAATGCTTCAGGGATGGAAGATCCAGGGAGAGAAATTATGTCGCCAACCAAGTTCATAGTTTTCAAACGGATTTCCAGCTGGTCAGTCTACAAATTTCCAAATTACAAGTGAGAATCTAGACATAAATTTTACTATAAAGAAAATAAATGGCACAGCTGAAAAAAGGTATAGGCCATCAAGGTGCGCATTCAAACCCCAATTATGACTTTCAAAATTAATTAATTATGAATTATGAATATGAATTTAATTTTAGATTAATTTTTATTTGAACATTTCTATATGCATTATAAATTTCATAATGGTGCTCATTCTGCTGTAGCAGTTTTGGGGTCAGTTAATCCACAGTCCACACCATTATCTGGGATTGATAACTATGCTTGTCAATTGGAGTGGCCATTTTAAGCTGTTAGAGTGGTTAACTAATTGGCTGTTATTTAGAGAGACAAAAAAGGTAGCGGGAGGCAGTTAGTTGGTTATCCTGTTGTGGATGGAGGAGAGACCTGGTCTCGGATCCCCAGAATCTTCTGTGATAAACTTCCTTCTTTGTAATTTGGGTTTCCCTGATCCAGAGAAGTGTTATGTTCAATAAAATTCTTTTTTCTTTTTCCTGTTAATTCCAATTACCCGAACTAGTATCTATCACTCTATCATCAGTCAGGAAAGACAATAAAATTAATAATTACCAGTAGCTCTCCAGTCACATAAGGGAGGACTCCAAACAGGATCTGAGGAGCACAGCAATATAGATCATAGATAACTCCATGGTATTCCACTTGACTGTTCACCGGCTTGTTAGACATTAATGATAGCAAAAACTGTTTGATGCTGGGTTCAAGTTTTCCCACACATTGCTGTATGACATTCATAGCAAGCCTCCTTGCAGCCATATTAATACCCTGGAATTAAAATTCAACATCATCAAGTTTCTCGAGTAATATTAGATCAGCAAGAGAATCAGCTATATGCCTTTTACGGGAAAATGAATTAATGAAATTAGTACTTACTTTTTTTTCACGACCTAATTTAGACAGTAGAATAGATAATAGATCCTCACGGACATCCTCACTCTCTTCTAAGAGAACCACCATTATAGTTTGCATGGATGACAGAACACTTTCAGTATGATCATCTCTAAGCATGAAACAAAATATATAGGCACCATATATTAATACAAAGAGGAATAAATATAGAAAATTAGACAAACAAGAAAATGGTGAATTTGTATCTTCTAAATTCTCACCTCAGTATCTAACACTTAAAAGTTCCAACAACAACAATAATCAAGTTTAATCCAACTATGTGGAGACCATTTATATTGCAAAACATCACTTGAAAACCATTTCTCATTATTTGATGACAGGCAAAAAGAAAAAAAGGATCCAGAATATATATATATATAGCAAATTATCAAGTTTGAAATCTTGGAAGTGAAGAGCAAAAGCTTCCAAGAGGAAATTCGTATTTATTACTCTTAAAATTAGCGCACACATCTCATAAATCAATAAAAATTTTATGATAAACAAACCTGGCAACCGCAAAGAAAATATGGAACATTTCATTCACCAGATCATAACATTCAAGATCCAACATCACAACACATGATCTATATTTTGCAAGAGTCTCCAATATAACAACCCTCCGGCTAAAAGATGGACCATTGATATCGCTTAGGCCACTAAAAGTGGCCACAATCAACTGAAAGATATCCTGCAAGGAGTCCACCGAAGATCAGGACAAAGGATAATCATAAATTGCGTTCCATACTTTTATTTTGGCTGAAAATAACGGAAATTATTGTACTTTTAAGTAGTAATGAAGATGAAGAACTATAATTAGATAATCTTGGTAAATGAAAGGCACCTTTAGAATTGCATCACTGTAGGGAGCTTCAGGTGCAGTGATCCGAGTTATCTCACAAACACATGTTGCAACTAGAAGCTTGATGTCCCTATCCTGGTGCTTCAGCAATTCTGGCTTAACAATTGCATTAAAAAAAGGCTTCATTGACTCCAATGTTGAAGTCGAAGGTGACTGGTCCAACTCAGCAAGGCATGTGGTTGCTTGCTGCATTTGGAAAAAACATTTTGAGAGATGTGAGGATTAGCATTTAACTTAACGAAATTAAAAGCCCAGAAGCTTTACAGTTATCTTCTCAAGACTATATCCATATGAACAACTTAACAGTAGTGTTTGAACCTGTGTCCAATCCCACATTCACAAATCACAGTCTAATATATGTTCTCTCATCTTTTTTGAATAAAAAACTTTCTAGTTTATCTCATAATCCAACTCAAGTAAAGAAGCCCTTCAATCTCAAATGTAAATGTGACAAAGGGCCCTAATTTTCCTTCCTATTTTCCACTTCTCTCTTTCCATTCCATTCTCAACCACAGACATGAATGTTGCAATTTTCGGTATCTTATCCAGAATATAAGCAGCTTATTATTAATAAACTACAGCACAAGATAATTAAACGCCCGGTTTAAAAGGTTTTCCTATGTTAGCACACAAATTGAAAACACCTCCACAACCATTCAAAAGTTGCCCTAACTCGAAAGATTCGTGCCAAGCATGCTCCAAATCAACATAAATCTTTCTAACCTCAAACATAGTAAACCTACTCATTGTTGTTCGGAGTCAAAGAGCATAAGGTGCAATAAATTTGGCGGAAGCAAAGCCGACCAAATTGAAGACGTTAGAGCTAAATCCTATTTTCCAAAAACACAAATCAGCTTAAAGGGAAAATTGAGACTTCATTTTCTCTTTTCTTCCCCTAGGCGACCCAGCAGCAAGCAAACAGAGAGTAACGGATATAACCAACAGAAAAGAGAAAACAAATTGCTCAATTGGAAAAGGCAAAGGAAAAAAAATGAGGAGGCATTGAAAGGGAGAATTGGGGAATTGGAAGAAAAATGCAAAACCTTCAAGAGCTTGACGAGAGCGTCTTTGGATGAGGGAAGGGTCTCGAGCTTGGATCCCAGCTCCTTGAGTTGCAAGTGAGGCTTCTGAGCCATAATTCCTCTCTCGATTAGACGCTGCCGTTTCGGTGCTCTTTCATGGACTTTCACGAAGAAAAGAAAAAGAGAAGAAAAGAGGGTTTTGGTTTTGGTTTTGTTTTTGTTTTTGTTTTTGTTTCTGGCTTGGCTCCGATGTTTATGTTTATGTTTATGTTTATGTTTATGTTTATGTTTATGTTTGCGTTTTGTTCTGTCTAGTGTCTACTCCACTCACTCGCTTGCGATTTTCGAACACCGAACCGGGCTTTACTCCGAAATCCCCCCATATTTTTTCACCTCCTTTTTTATTTTCTTTTTTATTAAATATACAATAACCTTAATTTTACACGCATGCGGCGTACGCGTACGGGATATTTATTTTATTTTAAGTGTCACTCTTTCTTTAAGATATTTAATATTTTCCGACTACCCTTTCATGTGCCAGCCGATTATAAATCCATCTTTGCTAGTTTTTTTTTCCTTAATTTATGAAAATCAAACTCACTTTTATTAAAGAAGAGTTTTATTTAAAACAATTTTTTCGATAAAAAAAATATATATATATTCTTGTGGTCTAGAAAAAATAATATATATATATATATATATACACACAAAAACAATTGAGCTATAATTTTTTAGTTATAACTTTCATGTTCCGTAGTATAATTTATTTTAAAAAAATAATTATTATTTGCTTTTTCAAAAATTCTTTAGAAAAAGTAGAAAAGATAAATTCATATTTTAAAACTTAACTATTTTATATTCTTATAACTATTACGAATTTTTATTTCAACCTCTAAAAAAAACAAAAAAAAAAATTAATGGTCACCAAAATCAGATTTCATTGAAATTAACAAACATCAAATTTTCATATCAAATAAGATGAAATATAGTTACATTGTCTACAAATTGAAAGTGTGTTTCAAAAAATATTAAAAAATATATATAAGTTTACTTACTAACTTATGAGTTAGTTTTATCAAAATAATTTTTTTCAATATAAAAAATTATTTTTTTTTTATAATTTACTTGAAACTTTTTTTATTCTTTTAATTTAAAAGTTATTTTCATTCTCTTATTATCGTTATAAATTTTATTTTCGTGTTATTTTTAATATTTATCACTAGTTTATTATCTAATTCAATTCAATAGAATCTCTTATAAATTTTTTATTAGTTTACAAATTAATTTTATCAAACACAATAAAACTTTCATTTGTTAATCATGCTCATTATTCTCGAAAATTAAATAAAAGGAAAAATAATTAGATATATTTAATGGAACCTATAATTTTCTTCATTTTTTCATGCGTCAATAACTAAAATAAAAAATAAAAGAGAGGGATTGAGAAAGAGAAATATTAATGCATATGAAAAAAGAAAAAAAAATGATTGATCACTATCAACAAATCTATTAAAATTTAAAACCTTAAAAATATCTATTATTGTTGTTGTGGAAAGATATGTTTTTATATCTCTTATTTCAAGTTTTTTTATGTGATTCATACATTTAGTTGGAAAAAAAAAATAAAAGGAAAGGAAAGAAGAAAAAAATTGTGTTTTCCTTATTTGGCTAGTACATAATGTAACACTAAGTTCAGGTGATTTGTGAAAAAAAAAATTTCCAGGAGTCTAATTGATCTTAAGCGGGAAAGTGTATAATATTTCTTTTGAAAGTTGAGCCTCGTAATATCAATTTCTCAAAGACCTTAGAGAGAGAAACTCTAATTATTATTTCCTTTTTCCTTCTAGGTTTCTTGGGAGTGTGAGATTCGTAGTTAGGAGTGTCGAATTTGAAGCTTGTGCTAAGAATCAGAGGATTGGGACAGTGTGGAGCTTGGAAGCTTGGAGTTTTTCTTTCTTCTCCTTCTCTTTCTTGGTTGCTTAGGGTTTGAGGTAAGGGAGGTTAGGATGATTTGGTCATTGATTTGATGACTTCTTGTTGTTGTTTTTATTGAATGTGAACATGTATGTGGCTGAACTCGAATTAAATGAGATGAAGATGAGTTTTTGGTGTTTTCACCTATGAAGGTGATTTTGATGAATGATGCAAACTTGGTTGTATATGTGTTGTTCCTTGATAATTTTGAGTGTTACATGATGTGTATGAACTGTTAGGTGCTTTACATGTGTTGGGTCTTATTTTCTTCAGGAGCTTGGGACAAAATTCATGATCTACATTGTGCAAAAATCATGATCACGTTGGGCATGAAGTTGAGTGCAGTTTTAACCTAAGGCCTTTATCTTGATCATGCCAAGCACGTGATCAGTGGGGTCGGGTGTGAGGAGAGAGACTTTCTAGTTAGGATGGCATTAGACGTTGTTTGAATGGCGTCGAGCATGAAAACCTTATGAGGTCTCTAACTTGGTGGCACCAAGCCCCCAATTGGGTGGCATCGAGCATGATTAAGTTAGAGGGTCCCTATTGGACGATGCCATTGAGAGAGAATCAAGCAAAGACTCTCTACCTAAGATGAGGTCAGGCGTGGATTTTTGTCACGTCAGGTGTGAGGTTCCATGGGATTTCCACCTCAATCACGTTGTGTGTGATTTAGATAGTGGTCGGGCGTGGGTGAGACAAATAGCTCTCTACCTCAATATCACCAAGCGCGAGGTAAGTTGCGTCGAACAAAGAATGCTTGAATAATGAAGGGTGATTTGGAATGTTGTATGATGGACATGAGTAAATGTGTGAGTTCTATTGCATGTTGTATTGGGTGTATTGATTGTTCTATATATGTTGATTGGACATGACATATATAGATGATTGTATGGCATTGGATGATGTTTAGCATATGTATGATGTATGATGTATGAGTTTGGAAAGTATTTATATGTTATGTATGGATGATGTTATTGTTGATATCTATATGCATTGACTATATGTAATGTGTATAGATGATGTATGCATGAGGTGTGGATGTTGAGCATGCAATAAGGCATGTTAGCTAACTTAGAACTTGAGGAAAGACAAAAGTTATTTAGGAAAAAAAACTGAAAATCCCACATAAGAAATCTTAGAATAATATTTGAGTAGGCCACTGTTAGAAAACCCTTTTTGAGTGGGTGTTTCTCTTGGAGTAGGTTTTGAGGTATTAATGCTTTCTCTAGGTCCTTAGTTAGTGGTGAACAAGACAGGAGATCAAGGGCTACAACCCTTGAACAAGTACCTAAAAAAGTTGTGTGGTTCCTTGAGGATAATCAGTAGGTGAACTCCATATGTGATTTGATAATGCATGTCAAGATCGTGGTAATCCTATACTCAGTTATACTATTTCCTTACAGTGAAACTGGTTTCTCATAGTGTAAATGATAAGACCCGAGAAATCAAAGGAGAGATTGATATCTTATTTTGCTGTAATCAAGCCAATGCTTCGGTGTGAAAATGAATGGTTTGGTTTAATAGGATAAAAATTACTTAGACTGCTTGTGTTGTTAGGAGATCTCCGTATGTGAATGCATGATGAGGCACTAGTTGATATGTTTGCATATGATGTGGGTTGAGGTGTGTTCATATGCAGTGTTGATGTCTTGTGTGACATGATTTGTGTGAGATACATGTTTGTTTGGAGTGTTGTAGCTTTCATGTATGATTGTGGTGTGATGTTGTACATTATAGGATTATTTTCTATATACATGCATGTTTTTTAACTCTAACACCCTTTTTGTTTTTATGGTGGTTTGGACTACAATGATCATACGTTATATATGATAATAGATAAAGGTTAGATATGAGGAGTTGTTTGTTGGTAGGGACATGATCTTTTGTGGATGATGGTGCTACTACATGTAACTTGTATAGTTGTCCTTGACCAATATTAGGATATAGAATTATTTGAGATTATTGTACACATGTATGTGACTTGTTTATATCACTTCAGATGTTTTACTTCTATATTCATGTTATATGTATATATGTATGTTGTCGTTCTTCTTTTAATCTTGTATGTCTTTGTAATTTAGTTTTTACTACTAATGATAGTGATTACATTTTGTGTAGTGACTATGACAAATTGTTACACATAAATAAAAAAAGGAAAAAACATTTTAATAGAGTTGTGTGTGTTTGATTTAATATTATATTATCTAAAATCATGATAATAAAAAAAACAACTTTAACTTTTAAATAATGTGTATATACCTATTTTTTAAAACTCTTTACAGTATTATATTCCTTAAGTTGTGTCTATTATATATTTTTATCAATAAAAATTACAATAATAACAAAATAGTTTAAACTTAAGATTTTTTTATATATATTATCTAAATTTGATATTACTATCCTGATTTTAATAGTTAACTGTATCTAACGAATGATTAATATTCATGGCTTATTATGCAGCATGATCCAATTCCAAAATAAGTTACAAATTGTGCAAGATTTTATACTAGTAGGCACATTTAATATTTTTTCCTTCGTATTTTAATTTTTACCTTTATTTATTTAAGATTTTATACCTTTATTTTAGTAATTTATTTATTACTAAAATTACTAACATATGTAATTTAAATAAGTAAAAATTTGGATAATTACAATACTTTAGGGACTAAAATTATACAATTGCGATATTTTAGGAACTAAAATTATACAATTGTGATACTTTAGGAAATAAAATTGTTTAATTAAAAATTAAAAGATAAAAAATGTACAATTACGTTACTTAAGACTAAAATTGTTCAATTAAAAATTGACACACTAAAATAGCACATCTATTATTCTCTAGGAACTAAAAATACATTTAAGTTTTATAATTATTGTAATCAAAATGTTATAAATGTGTTTATTAACTTATCTAAACTATAAAATATAATTGTTTTTATATTATAAAATTGTTTTTCCTTCATAAATTATTTGGATTCTCACTCCTTTCGTCTATTTTTTGTTTTTATAGAAAAACATAGTTAAAATATGATTTTTGAAAGAGATAGATTCTTGTGAATGATTTTTAAAATTGTCAATTTGTCATATAGAAATTTAACATTCCAAATCTGAGACTTAAATAGTCATCTATAAAACACGTACTCATTAATTTTTTTTTAAAATCAAATTTATAGCGTATTTAATTTAACAAATCTTACAAAACTTATTTTGATTTTATAAAACAAATATAATTGATCATAATATATAAAAGAGATTCATTTACTTAAAAAGTAAGTTTTAATAAATTTAC